TATTATTATTATTATTATTATTATTGTTGTTGTTATAATTATTTCTATTTTTATTATTATTGTTATAAGTATTATTGTTATTATTATTATTATTATTTTATTATTATTATTATCATCATTATTATTTATTTTATCCTGAACAGTTGGGGTAAACAATTATTATTATGTCTTAATATTCTCCTCTCACTAAAAGTGAAGATTTTGAATGACATTGCTGCAAGTCTCAGTAATCTATAATTAAGAAATAGAAAACATGTCCCGCACTTCTATCGAGTTATAGAGACACAAGTGGAAGTTTGGGAGAACAAGAAATGCTGTGCGAACACAAGCCAGCTTTTTCAAGTTCTCCCAAACTTTCACAAGTGTTTCTATAACTCGATAGAAACACGGAAAACATGTAAAAAAAAAGGGAAACAACTTGTTTACTTTGATCATCAAAATGTAAATTCTCTTTGCTCTCACCATCATTATGTCAACAGCTTGTGCTAGTTCTGTGTTTCTATCGAGTGATAGAAACACGCGTTTTAACCAATCAGCACACATATTTTCTTAGGGCTGTTTTCTAAAACTATGTAAAACATCAAACCCAGGGCTGGGCTTATTTTTGCTCAACAGGTTGCATTAACCATGGCTTAATTTCTGCAGCAGGGCTGAAAATCGGTTAAAATTTCTCATTTTGAAAATAGTTTGACTTAAATTAAAAGCGTTTAAAAGGAAAACTCTGAAAATTAAATTCAACAAAAAAGCATGCACCACTGCTTGGGGAGTGGGCTAGCTAGTAGGTATAAACCAATTTTGATAAATTAAGATTCAATTTAGCTCCAAGGCTTAGGGGAGTGAAATGAAAGAAATCACATCAAGGTTGAGGAATGAACAACTAACTTCATTTGTTTTCTTCCCCTAAGCCTAGAACTTAATATATCGAAATTGGCCAATTAGCTACTACCATAATATTCTACATTGGAGTCTATTTTTATTGTGCAAGCTGCAGATAACTGAATATTTGTCATCTGTCAAGTGCAGTTACCTAGCTGCAGGGGTTANACCAATTTTGATATATTAAGATTCAATTTAGCTCCAAGGCTTAGGGGAGTGAAATGAAAGAAATCACATCTAGGTTGAGGAATGAACAACTAACTTCATTTGTTTTCTTCCCCTAAGCCTAGAACTTAATATATTGAAATTGGCCAATTAGCTACTACCATAATATTCTACATTGGAGTCTATTTTTATTGTGCAAGCTGCAGATAACTCTGAAATTATATTTGTCATCTGTCAAGTGTAGTTACCTAGCTGCAGGGGTTATTAACGTCACCTGTGGAGTACAGGTCTTTTTGCACAGCTGCAACATGTTGCAAGTTGATTGCACTTGCAAATACAAAATAGAGCAAAAAGTGGATAATTTAGATATGAAAAATACTGGGTGAAGAAGAATGAGTTTTAGCAACAAATGAGGTTTCCACACAGTCTTCATACAAAAACTGATTCTTATTGTTCCTCAAAATTGTGTGTGGGACCACTGAAAGCAGATCAAGAGGCTCTTTTCTAGGAAACTGGAGAAAACACAAAAGATTTTGGGGCCAGGGTATGAAGATTGTTTAGAATTTTCCTTTTAATTTGTGAAGTGTCTTTCATTTCTCCTGGATATTCCCCTGGGTATTTATTTAGTTTCTTAGTTTTAAGAAAGTTAATTTGAGGTTGAAGAAATTGTGTTTAATAGTAGGCTCNGGTTGATTGGGTGGCTGGCCACTCCCTTTTTGGAGGAGCAAGCTAGGCAAACATTCTTGACAGGTACCTCATCATAATTTCTACCTTCTGGTGTAACAGTTTTAAATTTGGTTCCAATTCTAAAATTGCCACTATTTGGGGGCTTGCCCCATTGATTCTGCAGCCCCGATAAAATTATATGAGCCACCTCCCCCACCCCCCACCTACTTGAAGAATCCTGGATCTGCCCCTACCGCGGAGTATTTACTTAGTTTAGTTAACAGAAATGCGTTATTATTGATGCCTGATAAACTCGTGTGCAAAGCTAATTGTCTGGACTGCAACGCACCTTAGTCTCCCATGCAGACGCTTATAGCGCTCGTCACGCGTTCCTTCCCACGAACATTAGCCTCGCATGCAGACGCTCGTTCCCGAGCCCTAAGAGCGTCTGCGTGGGAGGCTAAACGCCCCTTGGAGACGGATATTTTGAAGTTTTCTCACTTCATTGTTTTCATTTCAATTTACTTGTTTCATATGGAAAATTAAGTTATTACCCGAGCACAATAACGTCACGCTTTGCTGACTATGAATTAAACTTTACACTCCACTCCACTGCCGTGATCTGATTGGTCATGCAAATATTAATCTATGCCTGCATATGAATAATTCCCATGTGCTTTAGCAGCTATTGCCTGGATACCGTTTTCGACGCTAACCCGCAACACGGGGTGAAATAATATTGTTCGATCGACTGCCAATTATTGTTCTCCAAGGAAACGACTCAGTCTGAATCATAGAGAAGTTTACCTTCGGAAACGCCAACTTTGCTTCAAGGTTGTACACTCCGATAAGGCTAAATTCCATCACTTGTTATTTTTGGAGAGGGGTGCGAATATTGGCCGGACATTACTTCATGGAGAAGGTAATTGTTGCATCTTGAACTCTTGTAGCTTTTGATTGACGAATCTAACCAGCAAAAATTTCATCGTTTATTGAAAAGGTGCGGATTATATTTCTGTTGAATACGACTAGAAATATTCAGAGAGACCTCAGAAGTCAACGGTTTGTTTAACTTTAACTTTCCTTAGCGACAATATATATTTTGCCGCAAATTCCGTGGAACAATTACCCGACTAATTATTGTGTCTGTCTTGAATGGTCTCGCAACAACATCCATTACTACTGTCTCGTCTCTAGAGCAGTTTTGCAAAGTATCCGATCTTCCAACGAAACAGTCTTCGCTTAGAAAATGTAAATTGACTACTGATATAAAAACAATCTGACTTATTAACTTGGTAGGGATTCCACAGTCGTTAACAATGGTCTTTAATTATTAAATTTGTTTACTTGAAAGATCTGGTTTACTTAGCGACTCGAGAGCTTTAACCATTTTGTTGCCAAGACACCAAAGGATTAAAAGATGACTTCGCGAAGTTCTCCGATTCTCGCCCCTCGCTACATGGAGAAAGATTACCTTCAAAGTCTCAACGATCGCTTTGCTTCGTACGTTTCTCGCGTGCGGCAAATGCGTGAACAAAGCGGTCGAATGGAAACCGGAAATCTCGTCAACACGACCAAGATTCTAGAAGACGAGATCATAGCTTTGAAAGGCATGTACGAGCGACAACTTGAAGAGTTGAGAGACAAACTTGAGGTCATGGCTCGCGAGAGAACGCAACATCAATTGGCTGCGGCGAAGAATTCTGCCCTGGTGGCAGAGCTTCAAGACAAGTGAGAACACGTTTATTAGTGATAAGATCTGATTTCCCCTTCCGCTATCAAAAAGTCAGACATGCGATATTGTGCACAGCACCAAACGTTCGAAACTGATAACTTTTATAAGTGGAATTAACATGGCAGTGGGGAAAAAATGACTTTTTTTCCCTATTTGCACAGCCCTCTCCTGATCATGACCCCCCACCCTTGAAGGCATTATCTCCCACCCAATCCATTTAGACTTGGTCTAGTGTTTTTATGGACTGAGGTGTTCTAATCACAGTGTTATTTTTAATAAAAAGCACAGATCCCAAACAAGGCCCCTCCTATATACTAATCTGCCCCCCTCCCCCCATATAAACAGTGCATACTGTTAATATTATCCACAGAAAGCAGCATGATCATTGCGGGGAAGTAGTATTCTAGCCCCCTTATTTCCTGAGAAAATTTACCACTTGGAGCACTTGAAAAGTTTTTGGCTGGCGCTAAACTTACTGGCAGACCAGCTCAGATCAGTCAATGCAGTGTAAAGTGGAACGACCCATACAGTATTCTAGACCACAAATCCTGGGCATTTAGTCAAGAGAATCTTAAGGATCAATGTTTCTTGCTGACAGACTGAAGGGTTGAACATACTCAGATAACTAATGTTGTTTTATTAATTTTTTTTATATTTTTGCTAGGCTGGGAGAAGAAACAAGTGCTCGGAAAAAGACAGAAAATGCTCTAGCAGATGCTCACCGCGTTATTGCAGAAAAGGAGGCGCTGTTGCAAGATGCACGAGTCACAACCACCCAGCACCAGAATGCTCACATGGATACCAAACGAGACAGGGATGGTCTGCAGTCTGCGCTGACACAGACACAGCAGGCATTAGACGTGGAGGTGGCTGCAAGGGCTGATCTGCAGACTCTAGCCAATCAACTCAAAGAAAAGCTAAACTTTCAACAACAGCTTCATGAGAAGGTAAGTTAGGGATGCAGCAATTCACTCACCCAGTAAACTTAATCAACTTATTTACCTGGAGTTTTAAATGCAGTATCCATGTAATTTACTTTTTACTCCAGTCTGGGTATATGCTGTAGCTGATATAATCTCTAATGAAAATGTGTTTTTCAAAAAGTCAGCACCATTCCAGCTTATGGATTGAAGGAGTTTCTTTGGAATGACATGAATAATGTAATTATGCAATCTTTATTAATTAGCCCTGGGTAGATTGGTGGTCTGTCCCAGCTATTTAAATATGAATATACCCCATTTTTTTGAATTATTTGGCAACTCACTGGTACCCATTAAATAAATATAATCCTCAGACTGTGGAGAAAGGTGCTCTTAGCTAGGGAAATGTCTCTTTATACAGAGGAGTCTTTACTTTGTCCAAGCACGGAATACCACAACAACAATCCAGCCAGGGTTCAGTTCCAAATCTTCAGTTCCTATAGGCTGACACACTAACCAACCTGATAGTAAAATTTTGATATGTTTGGTCCTAAGGAGTTGCATGAGATGCGCTGCCGACTAGATGAAGCTGAGAGGACAATCTTGTTAGCTGAGGAGAGGTTGCATGAGCATAACATCATTGACGAAAATTTGTCTGCCATGCTGGCCAAAGTGAAACTGCACAGTGAGGTGGAGTTACGACGGTTTAAAGAAGAGGCAGAGATCTCATATCACAATGGGGTATGAACTAGTTCTATAGCCAAACCCTATAGACACCTTGTTAGAACCTGATCACTACTAGCTGGGTTTATAATTAATTGCACAGATTTTTGTGTGCATTTAGTTTACAGCCACATTTAACTGAAAAGATAATCACAAGACAAACTCAAGACCTTGGGAACGTTATCTGAATATCAAATTTCACCCTTTTGAATTTCTTGAAATTGTGAGGTGTAATTTCACCAATTGTTCCATTTGCGGAAGACTATTGACGCATCTTAAAATGTTTCAAAGGAGTATCATTACTTAATTACACGTTATAGCATCTCTAAAGGAGGATTTAACCATTTTCTATGGTAAAGCCAAATTATTTCAAGTGAAGGTTACATGAAAAGCACTGCATTAGACTAGCCATGAACAAATGTATTATCACAAGGTTACATGACATGTAATTGTAGCATAAAAATGTTTGATATGTGGTAAAGAAAATTCTGATCTTGGCCTTCACTGGGAGTAAAACATACTTTAAGTTCAGACATTAAATGTCCTGAGCTTTTGCATTAATCACATTCTGATTTCTATGTTTGCAGGTGAATCAGATAAGAATGCAACTGGATAATGAATCTCGAAACCTTGCAGCAGCTACAGATGATAATATTCACCTGAAAGCTCAAGTTGAAGCATTGAACTCCAAAAATATCAATCTTGAGGCTAAGGTACAGTAAGAAAGTATCTGTAATTAATATTAGTATGTACCATGCAGGTGAATATGTGCTTTTTGTGTGCTCTGATTGGTTAACTTGGAGGTGATTAGCAAGTACTATTCACCTCCAAGCAGCTGGCACGAGAGATTTTAAAAATTCCAACCACTTGTCATACATAAAATACAGTAAACACCCGCATATAAGAACACATGGATTAAGAACATCAGGCTGAAATTTGGCAAATAAAGCACCACTTTTATAAGAACAATATCAGCCT